TCCAGTGGTCAACATCACTCAGGAAGTCTTTATTTCCGTGTCTTTACCTGGTACCCATTTGAGGACAGGTCGATCGGGGAATCCAAAGTCGCTTTTGAAAAATGTCTAGTTTGTTCGGATTTTTAAAACCACGACCTTGGGATCTGCAGACGGGTGTAGTATTTTAAAAATGTGTATATATATATATATATATATATATATATATATATATATATATATATATATATATATATATATATATATATATATATATATATATTATATATACATATATTATATCTATAAATATATATATAATTCTCAAACAGTAAACATAAACATTGCTGTTTTATGTATTGATGCAAATGTTAATATTTGCATTCATTTAATTGTATTGTAAAGCTTTACGACTTCAAATTATTTGTTTTAGTTTTAATTTCTCCTTTGTTAAGAAATGATATTATTATTATTATTTTTTTAACCTTATTTTTTTCTTCTTCTTCTTCTTCTTCTTCTTCTTCTTCTTCTTCTTCTTCTTCTTCTTCTTCTTCTTCTTCTTCTTCTTCTTCTTCTTCTTCTTCTTCTTCTTCTTCTTCTTCTTCTTCTTCTTCTTCTTCTTCTTCTTCTTCTTCTTCTTCTTCTTCTTCTTCTTTTCTTCTTCTTCTTCTTCTTCTTCTTCTTCTTCTTCTTCTTCTTCTTCTTCTTCTTCTTCTTCTTCTTCTTCTTCTTCTTCTTCTTCTTCTTCTTCTTCTTCTTCTTCAAAGATGTCGGTGTATGTATGCATGTATGTGTGTGTATGTATGCATGCATGTGTGTGTGTATTTAGGTAAGTATGAAAGTATGTATGTGTGTAAGTATGTGAGTGTATGTATGGATGTGTGTATGTTTGAAAGAATGTTAAAGTATTTGAGTGTATGTATGGATGTGTGTATGCATGTACATGTAGTCCATGTATGTATGTATGTGTGCATATATGTATGTAGGTGCATGTATTATGTATGTCTCTGTATTATGAGAATGTTTCTATGTAAATGTATCTTTGTAAGTCTATGGGTGTATGTGTATTCATACATGTATATGCATGTTTGTCGGTATATGTAGCTGTGGATGTGTATGTATTTATGAATGTATGCATGTATGTAAGTATGTGGGAATGTATTATGTATGTGTATGTATGTATAAAAGTATCTATGTGTGTGTATATATGTATGCATTATATGGGTGTGTGTGATTGTGGGTGTGTGTGTATGCATGCATGTGGATATATGAATGTATATTTAAGTTTGTTTTGTGTGTGTATTTATGTATAGGTGTTGTAAGTATGTGTGACTGTATATGAGTGTATGTGTGTACATAATGTAGGCAAGTATGAATGTATGTATACATGAGTGAAGGTATGTATGTGAGTATCTGTATGGGTGGTTGTATATGTGTCTATGCATGCATGTGTGGGTATGTATGTAATGTGTGTCGGCATGTATGTGGGTGTGTGTATGTATTCATGTTTGTGGATGTGTGTATGCATTTGTAGATGTATAAGTATGTGGGTGTAGGTATGTATGCATGTATGTGTGTAAAGATGTAGGTGTGTGTATGTATATGTGTATATGTATGTTTACATGTGAGTGTGAATGTGTGGTTGTGGGTGTCTGTTCATGTGATTGTATGTGTGTGTATGCATGTGTAGGTGTGCATGTATGGAATGTGTGTGTGCATATATGTCTATATATGTATGTGTGTGTCTTTTCTGTTTGTGTATATATGTAGATGTATATATTTAGGTACGTCTGTATATGAGTGTGCAAGTATGAGAATGTGAGAGCATATATATATATGTCTGTGAGTGTGTAAGATTGTGTACACATGATGTATGTATTATATTCTATAATGTATATTTTATTTCTATATCTATAACATGCATTTTAAATAACAGGCATTGGTACTCCGGAAAACGAGTGCTTAGAAGGGCCGAATGTCAGACGGGCCTGCGTGCCCAATTTGTAACCCTTTGAAAATAAAGTTTGTTCGTTCGTTCGTTCTTCTTCTTCTTCTTCTTCTTCTTCTTCTTCTTTTTCATCTTCTTCTTCTTCTTCTTCTTTTTCTTCTTCTTCTTCTTCTTCTTCTTCTTCTTCTTCTTCTTCTTCTTCTTCTTCTTCTTCTTCTTCTTCTTCTTCTTCTTCTTCTTCTTCTTCTTCTTCTTCTTCTTCTTCTTCTTATTATTATTATTATTATTATTCCTCTTATTATTATTATTATTATTATTATTATTATTATTATTCTTTTACTAGTTCTAATTCTTCTTTTTCTAATTCTCTTTTACTTCGCGTCCACCGGCTGCAGACTCTGGCGGAATGTTCATGGTGTTCGTGCACCTGAAAACTAAATTGTTGTTCTGCAACTTTTATGTTGCTTGCACACCTATTTCACAGATATGGCTTTTCTGTATATAGATGCATGGTTCCTTGTTTATCATTCTTTTATCCGTCATGAAACTGCAGTTGAATGTTTGTGACGCCTAAAGTTACTTATAAGTCCAATTCGTGCTCGGAAGAGTCTAGGACAATGAGGTCAGGGCACAATGTCTGTAGACAAAGGGCCTGTTTGTCGGTTCTTTCTGGCCTGTCTTCTCTGTTCAGCTGCCTTTTTTCTAGATGCCTCGCCGATATTTGCATTATTTTGGACATGTTCGCCATAAAGTCCGGTCCTGTGCTGCAGCCTCCCAGGTGTCAGGGTTTATACTAATGACTTTAAATGATTCCTTTAGTGTGTCCTTGAAACGCTTTTTACCTGGCCACCATGAGAACGTCGACCTTCATGTATCTCACCAAATAAAATTATTTGTAGGAGCTGATTTTGAAGCATTAGAACAATATGAACAGCTTATCGCAACTGTGACTGCACCAAGATGGTATTAATGCTTGGAATGCCAGTCCTGTCTTGTATGACAGTGTGCGGGACCATGTCTTGCCACCTAATGTTCAGTATCTTTCTAATAAAAGATTGAAATATATACAAAAAATGACTAGAGCGATGAATTGGATTAAAGTGAAAAAGAGCGGCTCCTTAGGCAGAGGTTCCCTAACTTTGAAGGAAGCTCCCAAGCTAGTCGACTCCAACGACTTACTTGTCGTTAATGCAGTGTGGATTTATATTTTTTTCCCCACAATGGGGCCTCACAATCCACTCGGGAATTATTATTGTTATTATCATCCTTATCATCACCATCATCATGATTTCTTATTGCCATTGTTTATATAACCAGATTGGATCTTTGCAACTATTTGTTCATGGATATCAAGATGCAGAGATCTGGTTAAAGAAATTTGACACCACCCCGTTGTCAGAGCACACAGCAGAGCATTTCCAGCATTTGTTCGAGCGCTTGGTTGTGTTGGATTATATCATCAGGAATACAGGTATCATCAATAATTTCATCATACATACAAGTGTGACTGTATATTATGTCTTCAAGAATAGATGTATCAACGTAGATTATATAATCGGATTTATACATTTATCGCCATAAACTATATTAGCATCTAAAATACAGGTACAACTACAAATTACATTAACTGAAATACAGGTAAAATGTAAGATTATTTAATCTGGAATACGGATATCAATATCTATTATATCAGGTGGAATAAAGATATCACCACAAATTAAATCACATGAAATAAAGGCATGATCGTGTCTTTTGAAATTTGAAATGCGGTATCACAATAATACTTGTATCACTATATACATTTTAGCACCCGACATACAAGTATCACTATAAATTATATGATCTGGAAAACTGGTATCATAATAAATTATTTTATCTGGAATACAAATATCACTATACAGTAGAACCTCGCTTAATGAGCACCTCTCATAACGAGTAATTCGCATAACGAGCAGAACAAATTGTGAAAGAGTGACTCGCTTAACGAGTGACGTTTCGCATAATGAGTGGCGGGGAGAGGGGAAGTCCCGGATTGTGCGCATGTTACATCAGTTTGTGTTTAGCACTCGTTCCAGTAGCATCGTAGTGTCGCTTGTGATCACACATTTTCTCAAACTTGTGTTAGATTGTGATATATGTACATGAATCCTCCAGGCCTACAAGATGACCTCCCTGAAAAATTTAAGTTCATCACGATCGAATTTCTGCCTCCCAACACTACGCCGTTACTCCAGCCCATGGACCAGCAAGTTATTTCTAACTTTAAGAAGCTCTACACTAAAGCACTCTTCGTGCATTGTTTTCAGGTGACTGAAGGGACCAACCTTACTTTCAGAGAGTTTTAGAAAAAATCACTTTCACATCGTTGCCTGCTTCAAAATGATTGACAAGGCGTGGGAAGGGGTTACCAAGAGAACCATAACTTCTGCTTTGAAGAAGCTTTGGCCGTTGCGAATGTGACTTTGATGGGTTCGAGACAGTACCTGTGGAACAAGTAGTCAACGAGATTGTGTCTTTGGCCACTATCATGGGATTGTAGGTGGATAACAGTGATATCGAAGAGCTTGTGGAAGAGCACAGCCAAAAGCTGACCACCGAAGAGCTTATGGAGTTGCATTGTGTGTCACATCAAGAAGCTTTGGAGGAAAGTTTGTCAGAGGAGTAGGAGGAGGAAGTAACAGAAAAGCAACAAATTTCTGGCGAAATAAGAGAAATGCTGAAAACATGGGAAACTACCATCTTACAATGAGAATCATCACCCTAATAAGGAAAAGGCTATGCGAGTTGCAAATTTATTTAATGACAATGCTGTGTCGCATTTTCGCCAAATTTTGAAAAGTCGGCAAAAACAAATTTTGCTGAACATCTTTCTACTAAAAAAATAATTAGGTATGTATCATAATTATTTCGACTTTGTTTTCTGCAAATGTATTTTGCAATCCAGGTGGCTTCGTTCCGCGGTGAAAGAAAAGATGAAGATGATTCACTCTCCTTAACAATATCTATATTATTTTCTTTCGATAAACGTTAAACATTAATTTTTGTGAGTTTTTTTTTTTTTTTTTTTTTTTTTTTGATAGGGAACGCATTACCGTATTTTACATTAATTTATATGCTATGCGAAAAATTGTTTCGCATAACGAGTGTTTCGCTTAACGAGTTTGATTCTGGAACCAATTATGCTCGTTAAGCGAGGTTCCACTGTACATATCATCTGGAAAACATGTGTTAATATAAATTATATAATCTGGAATATCTTTATCAGTATAGATTATATCATCTGTATTACAAGTATCACCAAAGATTAAATCTTCAGGACTGAATATATCCTTATAGATTATATCATATAAAACATGATATCATCATACATATTACGTTTTCTCGTTATTTTTATTGTTCTGCCTGACATTGGTTTCCAGATGAAAAAAAAAATACACATTACTCAATGAAGGGTGTGGTGCGACACATTGTCTTCCACTGATCTATACAGATTGCTTTCAACCGGAATGTTTAAGATCAAACCACAATTATCTGTTGCATGCAGAAAGCATGTCTGCAGCATGATTTTAGTATTCTATGGTGCCTGTCCACATGGGCAAAATATCTGAGGTATCTGTCTTATAATTCTTAAAAAGTGGAGTCTGTTGTATCCAGCTCACAATCTGGATACAGTTTAATGTTTTGGGTCTTTTCGTATGTGCATGTTAAGTGACTAGTGGGTTGTAATGGCTACTTTGCTCTGCTTTTATATTCTATGTGTGTATCCTGCATTTGCCTCCTCTGTGTTCCATCCAATAATCTGTTGGCTTAGTTGTCTGCTCTTTCCCCCCCCCCCCCGTATTATTGCAGTCAGTGACCTTGGATCCATTGCAGGAATGTGTACTTGGCTGCTCAGCTGACCCATCTGATTCACAAGGGAACTAAATATATTGTACTGCAGATGTTTAACACTGTGTATTGTTTACATTTACATTATTGTTTGCAGTGCTAATCGACCACCTGTTACTATAACTACTTCTGATTCAGAGCTGCCTTTGCTGAGTAATGTGGAAACTTTTTTTTCCCTGCGCAAATGCCCCGCCTTGCTTTTGGAGGAGTGCTTTCCTGCATTTTGTTTTAACACAGTTGGTCTATTATATATTCACTTCTGCTCCTGCGTCCCTTGCAGGTTCCTTTTAATCTGTCATATGGGAAGACCCAGATACATCTATTTTTAAAAATAGTTTTCTTTCCAAAATATTATTGGTGTTTTAGTCTGCATTTACAGAGGATATGTTCTGTGTTGGTCAGAATGCAATCGATGGTGCCTTTGAACGTTGAATGTTGAATTAAGAATCGACATCATAGCACTCGAGGCACTACTACAAGCGCTAAGTCCCCACTTTCAGCTGCAAACGAAGAGTTTCAACTTCCACGGCACCAGTAACTGTCTGACTGTATATCTGATTCGCCTTTCCCTTGAATGCTGAGCATTGGGCAAATACCCTGGTAATTCCTTGCAGCGCCATTCTCCTCAGTTCCGAAATTATCATTTAGCGTTTCCAGGTTGTTCTTTCGCTTTCAGAGGCACTCACAACATCTAGCTTGTCATTCATCAGTTCACCACCAAGTGGTGAAGAACCGGCCAGTCTATCTGCCTGTTCATTTCCCAACACACCAGCAGAACTTGGAGACAATATCCAAAAGATGCTAAAAACACAAGACTTCTAAAGTGATGTTTGTCACTCTGCACGAAACATAACTGTCTTCAACTTTCTCAACATGCGCTGTGAGTTAGTTACAATCACGGCATGTGTTTACAACTGATTCTCAAGCCAGCAGAATGCAGCAGTGACTGCCTCCACCTCCATTCTCAAACTAGACGTGATAACATATGTCAGGCTTTGTTGCATTAAGCGACGTCCATTCGCTTTTACTATGAACCCCTATGCACTTCGTCTGCCCCTCAACACATAGCCATCTGTATAGATAATCACATCACTTGGGCGGGAATTGTCATGAATCATTTGTTGAACTTCTGATTCTGCAGCATTTGCTGTCTAGTTTCTGCTCTCACGACCCAAAGTGATAAGAATCCTACAGAAGACTGAAACGTGCTTTGACACTTTGACCCACTCCTCACCTCGCACACATTTACTGAGCCTGCACGCAAGTGTAATTGTGTCTTCAGCTTGCGCCATCCAAGACCTTCCTCTTTTCAGTCTGTGATCCCTAGCTCTACCCAGGGCTTAATGCAGGAGGTGCTGCTTGTCTGCAGCTACTCTGAGATGTGACTTTGCTTTCAGAACATTTAGCGTATCTGCAATAGTAGGCAGTGCAAGCATCTATCGCATACATATTATCGCGGTATCTCTTGTACATCCCAGAATTACCCGCATGACTTCATTCTGTATGCGTTCAAGTTAAATCAGTGACTCTTTGATATGGTATGCATTCCAAGTCCATAATTTATCACCGAAATGATCAAATGCTGGAACATTGTGAACAGCATTATTTGTTCCATGTCCATTGCTGTCATAATCTTGAGAGCATTGTACTTTCAGGCATTTAATCGCAACTGCCTCCACATGATAACTGAAGGGCAGGCTTCTGTCAAAAAAAAAAATACCCAAGGTACCTGAGTTTGCTTACCCTTTTGATTTTACTGTTATCAATTGCGAGGTTTGGAACATTAGCTCTTACAATTTGATTGTTTACAGATCAACACTTACAGACGCCTTTTCTGAGTTTATGACAGCACCCATTTCTGCACACCAGTCAGTCACCTTGTCTACGATCGCCTGTAGCTCGTGGGCTATCCGTTGCCTTTTACTCCTCTGCCTATATGCAAAGAACATTATCAGCACATGTCAATATTCTTGTAACACCTGGTGCTTCAGGTTCTGCATATACGTACTTGTGCTTTTGATTTGTAGAAAGTACTTGCCTGTGTCTTTTTTTGGGATTATGTGCGATTTTGTTTTTAGCGCCAGGCAATGAAAGTTTATATTTGATATGTAATTTTTTGACTCGGGATGCGGTGATTTCTGTTTTAAACTCAATTCTGTGAAAAAAAAAATAGTTCCCTATGCCAGAGGTGATTTTCTAGTGCAGTGTATTTCGAGAATTGTGTGAGTATATTTGAATTGTTCCTTCTTCCTTACATTGTTTCTATCGCAGCATTTTTTGCTGAAGGTAAGACATCAGTCATAGCTAGAAAGTTAAGGTATTCTACTTCTGCAATTTTCTGAAAGTAACATTTATATGCTTCACCCAATGCTAGTATAGTGATGTATATATATATTGTTTGTTGTCTGTATCGATAGTCATATTATTTTAATTACGTTTCTAGATTTTAGTAGTCATTTAGCTTTACTTGTCATTGACATAACTAATTGCTGAAACAATTAACTAAAATTACCATATACATTTTTGTTGCGTACTTAGATCGAGGAAATGATAACTGGTTAATCAAGTATGAACCAGCCCCTCCAAAGACCGTGGTTACTACAAAAGACCACAGTGTGGTGAGAACATATTAGTTAACTATGTTACTGTAACAGTGTGTCAGCACCGTGTTTTAGCTGCAATAATAGACTAGACATAAATGTATATGTAAAGTATTTAAAAGGACCCGTTTCCACGCAACGCGTATTGTGTACATACAGGCAGCCTATTGGTCTGGCTTCTATAAAAGCAGTGCAAAAAAATGACTCCAGATACAATTCGATAACATGAAGTTTTCTGTGTTCCCAGTTTCAGTGTACGGTAATTATTATGAATGTTAAGCTAGTGAATTATGTATAACACTATGATCAGATTTAGCGAGCATTTTCAAAACATAAGTTTTTTTTTTTTTTTTTATGCTGCTAATTTAATATAGTCTACACAAGGCATTTCCAAGCAGCTGACCAGGCAATACAAATCACTAAACGCCAAGTCTCCAAAATGCTCAAACTTTGTCACTCTAGTGTGGTTACGTTATTGATGTCTTCACTTGAGGAAAGATCATTATTAACTTTATTAAGGATATTACTGTTCTATTTTGATTATAGCAGTCTGGCTAAGATGATGTATCGAGGCGATTACTGCGATTGCTTGCAGTTTCTAACATCACAGTGGGCAGTCATCTGTTTTATAGATATATATATACGACGGATAAAATGGTCAATTTAAAGCTTCGTTAGAGTAGTTTTTTTTTTTCTATTTAAAAAAAAAATAATAAATTGGAAGTCTTTATCAATTAAAGAAAACCAGCCTTAATGGGAACAAGGAGGCTGTGACACATGACCAGCATTCTGCTCCAAGCGACAGGTAAGAAGACAGAGTAAATATATTACCACAGGAAATGGAAAGGCCTACCAAAAGCCATTTAATTTTAAAATTTACAAGCACTAGTCACCCGCTACACACTCGGCAAAGAGACTTTGGACAAAGAGACTGTGTCCATCATTCTGCTTTTTAACGATTAATCGGTGTATTAAATTTATTGCGTGTCTATTTGTTGTTCCATTTCTGTAAACTGTTTATGTTTTGAATGGTTATGAATGTGAATGAAAATGATGTCAAGTGTCAAAATATATTAATTTCCAGAAATGAGCTTTAATGTATTATTAATTTATGTAGGTTATGAAACAAAATAATTTCCTTATACTCGGAGTTTAACAATTTATGTCTTTATATAATTGTTTAAACTAAACCGGCATATTATGACAGCTACATGTGTCATGTACACACTATCTCTGTCTCACATTTGAGACATAAGAGGGAGAGTTTGATCATTTCACGGATCAACATCATGACACACAGGCGTAACCCATAAGTGCTACGTTTTACATATAACTCAAACATAAGACTGAAGAATCTCAGCGCAGTGCACAAACATCGTTGCACCGGCGAGGACCATGAAATACTTTGGGTAGATTTTTAACTCCAAATTTTCAGCTTTGTTATGTTACTCTTTTTTTTTAACTGCCAAGGTATGCTTCTTTTTTTTTACGTGCGCAACAATACACACAAGCATCTGGTCTTATTACACAGAGACAAGGGAAATTAAAAGAAGTCCACGTAAAAAAATCCTAGCATTCACCGCGGCTTGAACCGGGACCTCCAGCACTCGAGTAGGATGCCGTACCTCGAGACCACTCAGTCCCATTTTACATTTGAGACACTGCTGGCTGCTTGTATTGTTTCACTGTTTTAATAATTTCTTCAGATCATCGGAGAAACTAATAAACTATTCTCAGCACTACATCATATTCCAATGATTAGCAATCTGGAACAACCTGCTACAAACATTTATCCTGCAAGTATACAATACCATATTTATCTTTATTATATTGAATCACTTCTTTGTTAAAAAGCATTTTCTTTTCCAGTTCAAAAAAGAAAACAACAACAGATAGTGTCAACCTAAACAAAAAAAAAAAGCTTTGTTAATTTGTGTTTAAGTTGCGATTAGGTCTGTATAATTTTCAAACTGTATACATAACAAAATTATAGTATGCATAGTGCCACTTCTTTTGGGGAAACCATGTTCTTCGGCTATTTTCTAATCTGTTTTTGAAAATGTGTTTCTTGTTCGATCTTGAGAATAGACTTTGTTTATGGCTTGGTAATTGCAGCATTCTATGGGATTTACAACTAACTACAGTTGGCAGTGTGAAGAAAAAGAAATTATTTTTATCAGATTTTTCAATTCACAACATATGCATCCACATCTTTCATAGCTGTTTACTGTTATATATTTTCATTTTGAAATAGTTTGTTTTATATTTGCTTACTAAGTCGATCCTCTCCTATCTTAGGATGTGGATTCTGGCCAGATATATCACAAATCCTTTCTATCAGCAGTTTGGCTTTCTTCCGTTCCATTCCTATCCTATGTCAGTCAAAGCCTGTTAGAAATTGTCTTCCTGGTTAACATTGGGTCGTCCTGGTTACCTGAATCTTGGCATCCAGTGCCTGCCATTGTGGCAGATTCTCTCCCATTGTGCATACGTGTCTGAAGCAAAGTAGCTGCAACTGATCCACTCGAGTTTGTAAGGCCTGGGTTTCAAGATCCTGACCTACTGTCTGGTTGCGGACTTGGTCCATTATTGTCAGTTCGACCACGTCTCTTAAATATCTAATTTCTGATGGCCTAAGCTGTTGTCATTGCCCATGGCTCACGCCCTCAGGTCAGCACTTTGATATAGTTATAGCAGTGTATTATATTTATATGCATCAGTCTACTTTTATTTTAAATATTTTCGATTTCCCTAAATCTGATCTAATTTTAATTTTCGGTAGCTGATCTACGTAAGCGTTGCTGTGTGGTCTTTACATGTAAAAAAAATGTTCTCTATTGAATCTTTTTACTTTGTGTCACGAAGTTCAAGAATACATCACATTAGGCTTTTGTGATAGCTTTTTTTGCCATTTCGTGTTTTCTGTTACAGGTAGGCATTTAGAGTTTGTTCAATTAATCATTTTATAGCTTTAAACCATATGAGAAAAGTTGTATAACTCACTATAAAATCATCAATCTGTATTTAAACTGCAATTCCAGTCATCCTTTTAATTGCAGGTATATAACAGTTAACGTAAAGAATTTTTTCCAAATCTTTCTAGTATTATCAGTGTATGGTGAAGCCGATTTGTTGCATACACGCCCTGTTTGATGTGGTCAGTATCATGACTTTTTATAGTTATTCTGGTTTTCACTTTATCATTTGTACAAAAGAAACAGATTGGGTGAAAAAAAAAAATCTTCTTATCTGTAGGAGTCACATACATTTTGGACCCATGTAAGCAATTAAAGGACCCGTTTCAATACATGTTAAGTGCGAATCGGGTGCTTGCCTAATTTTGCAACATAGGTATTATATACTATCAGCCATTTGTAAATATCAAAGAGGTAGGTAACAGTTTTAAAACATTTCACAGTACCTATTTTTAAGGCTGCTTTGATATGGCAAAAGTAGTTGCGATGTACTGGAATCATCATCTATGCCCTTGTAAATGTTTATGTAGAAATATATATATATATATATATATATATATATATATATATATATATATATATATATATATATATATATATAAAGCAATGTTTCCTAGTTGTAAATTCGAACAACGAAGACACAAACAATATATTGCAATTTATTGCCTGGCATATTTCACTGTATCTCTGTATACACCCATACTTGAATGTTCTTAGCGACTCGTTTCTCCATGCGTGGATCAGTTCTGCCCACATAAGCAGCTTCTCAGCTACATTTAAATTGGTAGATACAATTTGATTTGGCATACGTCGACACTGGTTGTTTCACCAAGGGCGTTGGCACGGGAGTATTTTTAAACCCGATAATTGGCAAAGCGGGGTAGAAAGTTTGGCTAACTGTTGAGCCGGTTATATAGCCATTTTATAACGTCATCATCTCCATAGGTTAGATGTATGTAGACTTGTTGTTTGGGGACTGACGTTTCTGTAATAGTTGGTTGAGGCGTTTTTCAGCAAAACTTTTACGCCGCTTTGCCAATTATCAGGTTTTAAACTACCCCCGTGCCAACGCCCTCGGTGAAACAACCAGCGTCGACGCATGCCAAATCAAATTGCATCTACCAGTTTAAATGTAGCTGTGAAGCTGCTTATGTCTGCAGAACTGATCGACGACTGAAGAAACGAGTCGGTTAGCAAATTTCAGCATGGTAGGGAAAAAAGCAGGCAAAATTATATTTATAATAAGAATACTGACCGCAAAGATCACTAATCTGCAATAGCACGTAATCTTCTAAAATCTGGACACGTGGTAACTAAAAACAATGCATTTCAAATCCGTACTACGTCAACCAATAGCAGAACGCTAAGATTTCTCGAAGCTTCTGTGATTCGTCACCTGCGCCCGGAACTCTGTATACAGAAAAAGATGGTTCTGTAATTACGGTTATTAACACAATGACGAACGTTTCGCTTACATCCTTCTTAGGACGTAATTTTTTGTTATTTGAAGCCCCACTCTGGCTTTTGCCAGGGACCGCAATATAGGCAGGCCATCAATATGGTAAATTGTCTGAACGCGGTTTCTGGGACCTCTCCACGGTGATCCTCATCCGCATGATGGCACTTTGTGTCATCGGGTGTTTATCGCTTGTGTGATGTCCTGGTGGGGTAGAAAGTCAGTCAGTCAGTCTGTAATTACGGCTGCCCTGGTAAAAAAAAACAGGCACGTATGTTTTGATCGTTGTTGAAATTGTACGTCAGTTATAAAGAATTCACTTATTTGCTTTATTTAAATAATCGCTACTGTAGTATGCTCCTGTCGAAATACAGCGAAATATTTCAGGCAATGCATTGTGCAATCTATTGTTTGTGTCTTCTTTGTTCAAATATAATTATATATATATATATATATATATATATATATATATATATATATATATATATATATATACATATATATGTCGTCTTACACAGGCATCCGTGTCGTTTCAGTGCAAATTCGATATCTAAAAATAGTTGAAAAACAAAGATATCCCCTTGATGTTATTCACTAAGAGCCAACTATAGTTCGTTTGAAAAGTTGTGTCCTCAGTCAAATTTTAACAAATATTTTGAAAACTGATGTACTAATCAACAGCTTTTTTTTTGCATGTGGCATCAGATATCCCATATCCGTATAATTTTGATTTTCCAGTTGCATAGATGCTACTTTCTTCTTAAAGCGGTAACTTTCTTTGGTCTTTGTTTGACTAACAAAATGAGTATCCCTTAAAAAAAAAATTATGCAGTATTTGATACAAATAGTTTCCTTAAAACCACAAACGTGGAAATGGCTTTTAAAATTATTTCACATTGCTCAGCGACGCGTACTTATTATTTTGATAGCCCATCCCGCCTACTTTTATGTAACGCACGGGAGGCTAAAGCAGAATATTAACCACATGAGAGTGAAACGTCTATGAACTGAATTACAGTTATGTCAATGAGAGTATGACAGTACATGAAGCATCTAATTCATTATTCAAACAAGGGACTTTTGTTTGATAAATGTAAAAGTATGGATCCCTTTTCACGTTTTTTGGCGCATCCATCACATGGGAAGAATACCCACATTTTTACAGACCAATCGGCACTATGTGGTTAATGTAGTCAGCATTACGCTGGCTGTCTTTACTTCCCAAAGACATATATCATGGACCCATTGTAGGCTGGGTTGACCTGCGACGCCCTATACCACAAGAACAATCCACACAGCCATCAGTGGTTTCAGTCGCGGTACGTTGGAATAACGAGTCGGACTCGCAACAATATTTTTTTTTTTTTTGTCTTCAAAATTTGCATTACTACGTTATAACTTAACATATATTACATGTTCCATGTATTCTTTGATTTTGTGTCGCTTTTATTTCTAATTATATTCTGTGCCCAAAAAAAAAACAAAAAAAATAACAAAACAAAATAAAATAAAATAAAATAAAATAAATAAATAAATACCCCCCCCCCCCCCCCCCAAAAAAAAAAAATAATCTAGATGTGTGTTTATATAATAATTATTTTTGTAGAAAGAAATAATTATTAACATTTTGCATGCCGGTTACTGGGTTACAGATTTTTAAATTTGGGTACGACTCTTCGAACGGACTATAGTCTACAAAAATCGGGCGTTAGCTCCATGTATGCGATATACAAGAAAGCGTGGAAAGGGATACTTGAATATAATTTTCACATCCCGCTGAATTTTGAATTGGCACGTATACGTAGGAATTATATGCTCATGTTGCTGACAACTTAAAATACATCTTCGAATGCTTAATCTCGTCTGATAAAGACCTTATTATGGTGCAGATGCACTCTACTGTTTTCTGGGAAGGGGGGGGGGGGGCATAAAGCCGGCTGCAACAGTTACATCTAATTGCTAATGTCACAACAGATAGACACTACAAATTGTGTAGACTTTCGCGGGATAACCCAGGAACAACATTTAAAAGGGTATGCATGTGGGCGTATAACATACATAAACATACATCTTAGTACAGCTAAATGTATGATGCTGACCAGGTTGCCTGAATATCTAGGTCAACAATAATAAAAACAAGGTTAAAGACAATATTCTGCCAGTTTTACCCCCCCCCCCCACCCATCGAGAGACCATTGTTAGGTCCGCATATTTGACTAGTACATTACGCGCACTACGCATTTACAATGGAAACGGGTCCTTTACATTACATATGTGTATTCCCAAATAAATCATGGATTGGAAAAGGTTCTTTTACGTGCTTTTTTGTTTTGTTTTTATTTATTTAAGGAGCGTTTATTTGAAACCCGTTCAAATAGCTTTATTAAAAAAGCATGATAAAAACATTAACAGATATGGCAGAATAAAACACAGCAGTCGTTTTTAATGAATAATACACCATGGTTTGGTCACAAAAAGTCACACAAGGCATTCAGGCAAGCATCGCCTTGTTTAGATATGCTGCGATCAAAGAAAAAAAAATGGGGTTGCTCACTGAACCAATTGTTCACTGTGTCAAAATTTGTCAAACTCACTATGAACACATCTTCCAATGTTGCAGTTTCTTACGAACAGCCGTTTTATCTGTCTCAATTGACCCGTTGAAGTCTATTGCTAGCGAACTTAAACTCCGACAGTGTACTGTTGCGTCAGTTGTGTCAATGTATTTTTTTTTTCTTTCTTCTTTTTGTTGCAACAAAAACTACTTGACCATAGAAGATTTGTCATGAACCCGTTTCAAAACATTGAGACCTATTCTATCACTGGTCGACAAACATGGTTCACCACACGCTGCCTAAATTCTTAGATGAAGGACAACTGGTCAATATCCTTCAAATGAAAGAAACTGAATATCTCTTTTCTCAGCTTCACTTCGCGGATTTAAAAAAAAAAAGCCCGGACTTAGTTCCATGGGACAATCAGCGATTGTTTTTATTAGCTGGTCAGTGGGCATCACATAATTATGAAATGATCCTGTTCAAAGCACGCAATTATACACGGTGTAAAGCGAACGGGTTTCAAGAGGATATAAGAAACTAACTTAAACCATTGTTTTTTCCTTACTAGTAAGAGTGGCAGTCAAATACTGGTATTCTGGTATGTTGTTACTAACTTGTTAAAGTACAACCATATATTAATCCAATACCGGACATGCTAGAGGAAAACCCAGACGGCTATAAATAGAATTATTCAAAGATATATATACTCAAACATATAAATATGTTAACTAGAAGCAGAGTCAGGAAGGAAGGTGCAGGAGAGAAACTGCTGAAAGACTATTTACCGTCACCCAGGAGGTGAGATTAATCTCCATCTTGTGGATATTACTGTTGTTGTTGTTTTTTCTTTTTAGTAAGGATAATGATGGTGATTTTGACAACAATGACAATGATAGGAGGCTGCTATTTATATACTTAGACAATGTTGTCATAGGGTGTGGGTTTCTGGGTCACGCTGCGGTTGGGGAATAGATCCACAATCTCCACCCCCGCCCCGCTCCACTCCGCCCCCGACATACATGTCGTAAGAATAGACTAATTAATTAGGAATGTTTCTTTCAAAGTCAGAGTAAATCTACACGCGAATCAAGCTACTAACAGTAGCATACTAATGGGCCAGATCTTTAACAGTTTGCAGGCAAAATTCTGGTACAGGAATAAGACCAAAGTCCATGGGTGGACGAACAAATAGAACTTTCCGTCGGAATGTATAGACGCTGTACGTAAAGAAAATGGAGCATACATTATTGATTCATTTTTTCTGATCACATGACCATAGAAAGGAAGACTATTGGCTGTATTACTATAGGCTATTTGTAAATATTATGGAATACTGCGTGGTGAAGTCCATCAGGGCGGGGATGACTTGCAAACCTCTGTTAGGGACCAGTAACATCTGCAAGAAGAAAAAGGTTGCACAGCTTCAGTTTGTATCTACAAACAAAGAAGGCAGTGCGATTACCGAGACAAGTATAGAAATTAAAATTATTCCTTTTAAATCTGGGGATGAACTGGCTTGGGAACAAGCAGAGCCTGAGAATACATCTGAGTTGACAAAACGCGGTCTGCTTGTTCTGGGTATTTCATCTCATCAAAACGAAAGACCCTTTTCAAACCAGTACCATTCGAGCATTTTATACGCAAGTCGATGGGTGATGTAATCAAAATAACGCTCTCCAGATTTAATTCCCAGGTCATTACAGGGCACCCATTATAGGCGGCTCGACCTGAGAGCGAAAGCGATATAAACAAAAATATACAAATACGGATTCAAACCCAAAAATTTCAGACCGATACCTAACTCTCACCAGACCAATAGCAAGTAAAATGTGTAAACATGTGGTGTTAATAATTCTAACACAACTTTATTTAGTGTGCGTTTGTCAAATTATCATCTATGTTATCATCTATGGCTATGTTTTAACAAAATATACATGGACGGATTCGAAACAAAACACCGTCAGACCAATGCCTGACTCTTACCAGACAAGTAACCAGCAAAATTTGTAAACATGTGGTGTTAATAATTCTAACATAACTTTATTTAGTGTGCGTTTGTCAAATTATCATCTATGTTTATTTCACACTCTTAATGTGCGCGCGATATTTGTTGTAGTGTAAGTGAAGTGAGAGTAAAGATCCCTTTTCAGGCCTTTAGGCGCAACAGGAATATGGGAAAAGCACCCATATTTTTACAGACCAATCGACACTGAGTGAGTAAAATGGTCAGCATTACTCCGGCCGTTTTTACTATCCTAGGACAAACATGCTGGTGCCTATTTTACGCTGGGTGAACCTACGAAAAAATCCACGCTGTTGTAGTGTAATTGCTTTATTTAGATCAATGAGACCGAGAAAAAAATTCATCTTTAACATCTATTTCCCAACAATTATCCAGGATCCTGAGGTCGTTGTGAAGCCACCAATAGAGATTTATATCGCTGCAATAGATAATGGCCTGGCCTTTCCCTTTAAGCACCCAGATGAATGGAGGGCATGTGAGTATGTGGTATGGCCGTGTTGTTATTGCTGATGTTGTGATACCTCTGGTCGACTAAATTGTCACTGTAAAGTATGATTTACTGGAGTTTATGTCATTTGATCACATACACAATCTTACATTCAGAGGCATTGGAATCTTGGGGCGTATATGCCTTGAACTCGGACACCCACGACTGGGAAATTGCAAGGGTCTCAGGAGGCATTACACGGAGTTATTTTTTATTATGAACAATTTTCATATTTCAGCATTGTTATCTGTTAAGGCCTTGTTTCCTAGGAAGAAGACATTAAACAGGAAAACTTTATGTTATGGGCAGACTAGCTCCTTAGCCTTGGCTGGTAGCTGGGCTAGGAGGGAAGCTCCGATAGGCGGGCAGATAGAGCACTGTTCTTCTGATCCGGCAGCTTGTGCAGCCTGCTTTGTTCCAAAATTATTGGTGTCACTTTTCCTTTGGAGTAAACAAGGCAGGTCGAGAGATGCATTGGCAATATGTGGTCTCAACAATACTGTCCAGGCTTTGTGCAGTAGAGGCAGCAGTTACGGTTTATAAGTCATTGTGAATTAGCTGAAGTGAATGGGCATAAAGGAAGAAACGATTGCAGAAAGGATCAGAGCTGTGCGTCAGAGAAGAAACACACTACACACACATATTGTCATAAATGGTCCTGATATTCGTGGAAGACTTTCCTCAGCGCAGGCGGGTCTGGCTTGTCACATTCGCCATAGCCATGGGATGTGAGTTCCATGCTTTTTCATAGCAGAGTATAACACTATCGTCTGGACAAGACGGAAGGGTGCCACTTAATACAGTCCTGTATTAATATTATGCTGGGTTTATTTATTTTTGTTGTTGTTGTTGTTACAATAATCGCATGTATGTTTTTTTTAGACCCTTACCATTGGGCATGGCTGCCGCAAGCTAAAGTACCATTCTCCAAAGAAATACAGGACCATCTGTTGTCAAAACTGCAAGATCCAGCTTTTGTACGTGAATTATGCGAAGATTTGCGCGCTCTTTTTAAGGCAAGTATACCTTTTACCACGATGCGGCTATGTTTTGTGACACACACAAAGAAACACACGGCAGAAGCAGGCAACAAGGAATCTCTACTGTGTAGTCAGGGCTATTAACCATAGTAAAATATACAGCTAGAAGTCCTCGAATTGCTTCCTAAAGATTGCCAAAGACTTGTCTCGGCAACACAAGCGAACACCACATAATGAATTGACAGTGTCTATATATATATATGATAAAATGGTGTATCGTACAAATACACACATTCATGTCTACTTTGTGAGATATTATGTAGCAGTTCATTTACAAAATTTCGCTCTCATCATGTGGCTTCAGAAACTATCATTTCCTACTACGTGTCTTTCTTGGTGAAATTCTGTTTCCAAGGTGTCCTTGACATAATATTCCACCGTTGCCTTGGTCACCACTGTTGAAAAGGGATGGAGATAAAATGCACATTTGTGTCACTAATTTTTAATTTTATTTTTTCTTTCTAACATGGAACACATGTAATATTTCACTAATTAATCTATTAGCTGCTTGTTGTTCACGATACAGACTTTCAGTTACCTGGTTTTCTATATTTGTCTTGCGCTTGGCTTGGGTGATGGATTTATTCATTCTCTTCCAGATTTCCGCTACATCACTTATCCATCTCGCCTTTATCCTAGATTTTTTTTTCCCTGTGAATAATTGCACATGCAGCTGGGTCTGGCTTCATTTTCATCGTTTAGCTAAACCGAATCATTCTTTGTCTGTCAATATATTCAGACACAGTTCTATCCCACCTTTCCTTCGCATGCTGATATTCGTAACACTGTCCGTTTTTGTGTTGTTATTGCTTATGGAGACAGTGCATTTCACATGAAACCATTTTCTGCTCTAGTTTCCTATTCATTGCCCATGTTGTCACTGATAGCATAAAGTAGGGATGAAGATGCTTCTAAACTAGAGATGTGGGTGTCTGAGCACCGTTTGCCTTTTGCACTCTGGCTTTAATCTATCGAACCTGCGGTAAATACCTCTAACACAAGGACATAGTTTTCTCACTTTCAAATTTAGTAGCCTACACTGCCTAATCGAACTGTATAATATGTATTTGTAATTTGATCATTTTTCAGTAAATGGAAAGTCTAGTTTTTTACCAGTGTGCAAGAAGACTAGATGCTTTATCTATTTTCTATGTTTAAACATGGATGTATGATATTTCTGATAAAGACCAGTTCGATACTAAACAAAACATGCGTCAACTTTAAGAATAATCCTTGCCTGACTGGTTATATTCATTGTCTATCTAATACGTAAAATTGGTGAATTTCTCTGACAATTTCCCTATTGTGATTGTGGGCATGTAATCACTCCTTGCACCCACATAACTTACTAGATTTTAAACAGGCCTCATTGCCGGAAGTCCAAGACATAAGGGACACAATACAAATTGTTTAATGTAAAGTTATTAGTTTATTCTGACTTTATTATTTCCCATAACGTGGCCTCACATATTGTCCGTCTGGGTCTCTGTGATAAAGTTACATTTTTAATGTGTCCTCTATCACGTTTGTTTCTTTAATTCTAGCACTTGTTTTCTTCTTTAAAAAAACTTTATTACCGCTGCAAAGCAAACAAAGTGTTTACGCCCTGTCTTTTTATTGTATACATTCTACACACAAATACACACTTTCACATATTGCACTTTAAATATCGTTCTTCTTCTTCTTTACGTTCTCTTTCACCGTTTCCGGTGTCGGGGAAGATATAAGGTCCTGTTTTGTGCTCTTGCGGCTGGTTCGACCATAGACAAATCGAAATATTGTAGGTTTATCTGATGTTATCTTCCCATTTTTTCTTGGTCTGCACTAAGACCTTCTACTCTTTTCGTAAATGCCTTGTATGGTATAGCATCAGAAAGCATTCTTTTCAAGTGAGCACGCCATTTGATTTGCTGCCTTTGTATGTAATTTAGAACTGGTTGGATGCTGACTTTATCACGTGCAACCTCATTCCTGATTTGATCTTTTCCGGTCACTTCGACAGTCTTTCTCAGACACATCATTTCCTTGACTACTAATTTTCTTTTATGTTTTGTTGTGAGCGACCAGGTCTGGCACTGATAGCATATGATGGGAATGAAAATGCCTTGTATAAGATGTTTCTTTGTGCTGACTAAGATTGCCTTATGATGAAAAGTGGGAAATGACCGGCTGGGGGGTGGGGGTTCGGGGTGTTAGTTGTCCTACTGATTGGCCGGCTTAGGGTGGTAATTTCTTCGTTCAATTTGCATCATCGGTAAATATTGTTACTAGATATTAAAATCTAGATGCCTGTTTAATATATGTAAGCTCTCGTGCTTTTATTAAATTCTGCTTTTTTCTTCGAATTGAAATTACTTCTGTCTTTTCGATGTTGATCTAATATTATTTGATTTACATTCTTCATTCATGGATGTGAGATATAAATTCGTTGCTACATCTGCTATCAAGACCTGGTCATCAAAAAAGTGTAATTCGTTTATACTCCTATTATTGTCATTCCTGGGCTTGACATCTTTGCTTTTACTGTCAATGTAGGTGATAAACAGAAATGGTGATAAAACACATCCTTGTCTTACTCCAGATTATACTTTGAGTGGTTTCGATGCTCCGTGATTTATTCGAACTACACTTCTACAATCTCCATATAAGCTTTGACAAATTTCAATGCTGTGTTCACTTACTCCAAATCAAGCCATTACTTTCCATAAATGTTGTCTAAAGCTTTCTCTTTGTCTGAAAATGCACAATTAAGTTCTGAATATATTCGGTATTCTTTTATGTTAACTGTTTAAGTGTGAAGATTGCATCTGTGCAGCTCCCATTTCTTCTGAAACTTATCTGCTCTTCTGTCAACTGTGATTCTATCATTGGACGCAGCCTCGTTTCTATTATCTTAGCATACATTTCCCCAACTTGACTAAACGTAGAGATGCCTCGATATTGACTGCATTCTCGCTTGCTTCCATTATTCTTCCCCAATGGTACAACTATTGCATGTTGCCAGTCAATGGTTGCTCTTTGGTGTATCCATGCCGCATTGAATATTTCCTTGACCCATTTAATCGCTTTTCACCTGCTGCTTGGTTATTTATGTTGGTAATCCATCAACTCCTGCTTTATATGTGGGTGACTGCTTGTTCTTCTTTTGTCAATAGCTGCTTATGCCGCTAGGTGTCCCAGTACATTAGACGATCTGCAGCCGAGCCCAGGCGGACTCAGACGCTTAATATGTCGTGATCTTATGCAGTCTAATAGTGTCAGGAACTTCCCCAATCCATATTCTTCTTGGGTTGTCAGCTCCTGCGGCTGGCATCGTTGTTTTCATTCTCATTAGATGGCCAAACCATTTCATTCGTTGTTTCTCAATAAATTTGACGATAGGTTTTGTTCTAACAGTTCTTGTGATCACGTCGTTTCTCACGCGATCTCTCTTCTGATTTTATTCACAGCCATTTTCAAACATTACATCTCACAGGTGGTTAGTTTTCTTTTGTGTTCTTTTATCAATGTCAAAGTGGCATTGGTAACCTAAAACCGGCAGAAATATTGTATTAATAAATTGTCTTTTTGTCTATTTGAATAGCAGGGTCTTATAAATTGGAGCAAGTTGGTATGTGACACTGTTTGCTTGTTGGATTCTCGTTTCTATATCTTTGTCTATTTTACCATTGTATGTAAAGATGCTTCCAAATATTTAAATTCTTGCACTTGTTTCAGTCTTTAATCGTCAGTAAAGCACCATTCAACACTGTTTGTAGCAGATTATGAATTCTATTGACCTGCAGTGCTTCAGGTTTACTTACTATAGATTACCACGAATATTCTTTCCTATCAACAAGAGTTTAAGCTTGGTTGTCCACTGATTATGATTTCGCTCACTAAGCGCTGGGGATTCCGTAATCAGTACTGTATCATCTGTATATCTGGTTGTCCAAGAAAGTATCTTGGATTCTTTTTGACACAATACATATTCTCATTTTACTAGTTATATTTCACTGTTTGATAACATGGTCGGAATTCTATATATTTGCATTTATGTATATTTAATATGTAACATTTATATCTGCACTCATATGCCACTCTAATTATTTGTAAAATCAAACTGCACTGTTTTAACATCACCATGTGATTATTATTATTATTATTATTATTATTAATATTATTATAATGTTGGCATATTGCGTGTGTTGTGTCCCTTCCCCCCCCCCCTCCCTTCCACGTCCCTTTCTTTTCCTTTCCTCTTGTTTTAAATGTTGTCGATTTCACATACACATCAAATATAAGTTAAATGTAAAGTCGAGAGGATCGACATAACTGCACCGGACTGTATCGCACTTGACTCAGTCTCCATCACTGCAGAATGGTAAGCTGCCCCCTGAGAGCCTCGTCATAGTACGAACTCCATAGCTCCAGAGATAATGCTAATAAATATCTGTAAAAACTGCGCTCGTAAACTGACCGACTCCTCCAGAAATCGATCGCACGAGGCAAAACGATTCGATCACTTCACCACGGATACTCACAAACACACAAACACACACACAAAGTTATTTAGTCAGCGCAGATACCCAGGTAATATTTATCATGTCTGGTTTACTTTCAGATTGACAAGGACTTTAGTAATCACACATATGAGAAACAAATGAGCGTGATGAGAGGGCAGGTAAGGTGACACTGCAACTCGGACACGTCATTGTTTGGCTACATACCCAGCCACACCAAACTAGACAGGTTACTTCGTAATCGTTTTGTGGCCCAGCAATGTAACTGTCCACGTGGCTATACTATTGCAGCAAATATTGCAGAATCAGAAGTTGAACAAACGATTCATATCAGTTCTTGCTCAAGTGATGCGGTTCTCTATACAGATAGCGCTACGTTGAGAGGCAGATGAAGTTCATTAGGGTTTCTAGCAAAAACAAATGGACGTCGCATAGTGCAACAAAGCACGGCGTCTGCCATCACAAAGTTCAGTTTGAGAATGGATGTGGAGGCAATTACTGCAGCCCTCCACTGGCTTGAGAATCAAGTGTACACTCGTTGAAATTGTAACCGGCTTACAGACAATAAAGAGAAATTTTATATATAATTAACAAAGAGACAATGATCAGCCCGCTCAGAAAGAAGTAGAAAGATAGGTGGACACACTAGACAACATAAAGAATGAAAACTATATTTACCGTGCTGGGATTCGAACCTTTCACCTCCACATGGCGTGCGCGTCTCTTTATATGCGTGCTATGTATACTTACAGGGCCGACAATTACAGGTAGGCTAAACGTGCTGCAAGCAAAGTCATATCTCAGAGTAGTTGTAGACAAGTAACATCTCCTGCAGGAAGCCATAGGGTCTTAGCCACATCTGCAGGAAGCCATAGGGGCTTAGCCACATCTCCTGCATGAAGCCATCGGGGCTTAGCCACATCTCCTGCATGAAGCCATCGGGGCTTAGCCACATCTCCTGCAGGACGCCATAGGTACTTAGCCACATCTCCTGCATGAAGCCATAGGGGCAAAACCCAAGAGTTAAGGGCTGCAGACTAAAGACAGGACGGTGTTGGATAGCACACGTTGAAGATAGAATAAGATATATGTGCAGGCGGAGTAATACTGGGCGAGGAGAGGAAAGGGTCAACGTGTCTAACCAACAATTATACTTCTGTAACGCTCTTATGACATTATGGCTTGCCTGCAGCGACAAGCCAGCGGGCGCTGCAGATGCATGATAATACCAACCTGGGTTATGCGATTATATTTACACACAGTTCTGCGTTAAGAGGCAAACGATGTATTGGGAGCTCATAGCGAAACTCTGGCATCTGACACCATAACAAATATTTTTTGAATGGAGGCGGAGGCAGTAACTGCAGCCTTCTGCTGACTTGAAAACCAGCTTTACACTCATGTCGTAACTGTAACTGTCTAACATAGCAGGTTGAGATATTTAAGACATGTATGATATGTGCAGAGTGGCAAACATCGCTTCAGAGGACCTCGTCTGTTAGCGTTACTTGAAAACTGTTCCTGACGCCGTAGAAATTGTACTTCACTTGCTGCTGATGAAAGGTATTGAGCGGTTATAGGAGTGTGCGAGTGCTATGATGTTCTTTCTAATTCAAGCCACTAAACTAGAACCGGCAAAATTTTAAACTGATAATTTTGTATGGCACGCTAATAATATTATATAATTAAAAAAAAAAAATTAACAAAACTGGCAAAGAAAACGTCTTCCATCCCATTTAGGAAACATGGAAAGAAATACGTCGGATGTCATAATTACTTACATATATAAGTTCAAGGCATTGTTTCCCCGATGTGAATTTGAACAAAGAAGACACAAACAATAGACTGCACAATTTATTGCCTAGCATATTTCGCTGTATCTCGTCAGGTGCATACTACAGTAACAATTAATTAAAATGAAGCAAATAGCTGAATCCTAGAAACTGAAACACAAATTCGAGTACATTTCAAACTGTTTCACCAAGGTAAGCGTAGGGAAACGACCATTTCTTTTTGCCTACATAGATCCGGTTTCAATCTGCCAATCGCGGAAGCTTCCGCGTATCGAAGTAATCTACGGTTGGCCGAATTGTAAATAATTCGAAATGCATCATCCCTGTTAATGATGTGCCCGGAATTTAGAATATGGCACGCAATTGCTGATGATGGATTTTTTTCGACCAGTCACCTGATTCGTTGTTGTTGAGGTGTTAATGTTCTGCATTGCTTTTACCACCCATAGTGGAATATGTTTAGCAACCCGTTGCTCCAGTCGTCGATCAGTTCTGCCCACATATGCAGCGTTACAGGTGCATTTAAATTGGTATATACAATTATAAAGTTAGATTGGCAGATTGAAACCGGATCTATGTAGGCAAAAAGAAATGGTCGTTGCCCTACGCTTACCTTGGTGAAAAAGTTTGAAATGTACTCGGATTTGTGTTTCAGTTTCTAGGATTCAGCTATTAGCTTCATTTTAATTAATTGTTACTGTAGTATGCACCTGACGAGATACAGCGAAATACGTCAGGCAATATATACGTTCAGCAACAAAAACATGTTGATAACTGTACACATGGCTAGAACTATACTATAAACGGAAATGTAGCTGATATGAAACAAATATAATATAAACTGAGGGGTAGCTGAAATCATCATCCGCCATGGCGCTTGAAATGACCAAAATATTTCAGCTTTCGAGACAAGATGCTGTTAGATGAAATAAATGTTTTAATAATGCAAAGTATCACAGGTATCACAATAAACATATACATTACCTTGTGGCACCATATATCTCGGCCTTTCGTTCCGCAGAACACCTGCTGGCAGTGTTGCACAATACAAGATTCGGTTTCTCCAAATTAGTCTACGAATCTGAGTCACTGATAAATGCGACGAAACAAGCAAACTCTTTAACCTTAGCCAAGATACCTGGATTAGCTACTGCGTCGAAAAAGTGAACAGGCAGGCATGTTTCAGCCTGTGTAGTGATCATTCATATATTTCCACTTCTTCCGTTATGCGACTTGGGGAGGAACATTTTGCGATCCATGATTGAAGGGCTTTTGTCATTCTATGTCAATGTAGACATTCTTTAAAGTCATAAATCCATCTTCTACTATGGCAACCTCGTGCTTTCACTTGATATCTTTTCATGTGTAGCGCTTGCGTAGGCAGTTGTTCTTTCGGCATTCCTAACAGATGACCAAACCATTCGATCTTATGTTTCTAAGTTAGTTTGCTACATGTTGTTTTTTTCCAACACTCTGTTTATTAATATTACAAACATCTAATTTCACATGTGGTATTTTTACGTAGATTAGCCTTTGATAATGTCACCGTCTGGCACTGAGCCCGACTTTTTCTGTTCTTCAAATGACCCCGATACGCATTTCGACTTAGCCTTAAACTGATGTCAATATAGGTCAGGTTAAGTAAAGGCAGTCGTCGTATTGTTGACTATTTCACTCACCGAGTGCAGATTGGTCCATACAATATTGGTCTAGCCCTATAAAACACCATGCCTGAAGGTTAGTTGCGTATCCTTTACAGGACGTTGAAGAACCAACCCCAACAGCCCCTGGCTGTCGTGTGAGTTTTGTAGGCAAATTTACGTCCAGTAGTTTGCCATTGCCTTCGGGACGGTCGGCTTTCTTGATACCACTGTCGAAACCAACGCAAGGCGCATGGCCTGCAGCTGGGGTCGATCCCGGCATCCCGGCATTACGAAGCGTTGCTGGTTAAGAAGGTAATTTTCCTACTTATTTTTACAATCTGTAATAAAAAAAATACTGTTTAGTTTCATCCATATATTCTCCACAAACTGTTGATTATAAATATGTGCTTGTATAATAGCTCTGTTGCTGTTTTAAACAGATTGCAAATGTGGTAGAAGCACTACAGGAAGAGAAAACTCCTCTCCAACTCGTTCAGATGCCAGTGATGACAATTGAACATAAACACAAAAAGACAAGTCGAACGCCATCTTTACAGGAAGAATTCACACGGCATTTCAACCAAACAAGACCAACGTTTTCATGCTGTTAAACTACTCTTCTACAATATTCTACTATCTTATTTCATATCATATCACAATGGATGTGAGTTTTGAGGAATGGTCTCATTCACCTCTTTTGCGACCATTAGTACATTAATATCTAAAATATTGTGTGCCAAAATTTGCTCTCGGTTGCTTTGTTGTCGTTTATTTCTTTATACAACCTTTAACAAACATCACTATACCCAGTTCTTTGTTGTGTGTGTGTGTGTTCGTTTTATATATGTATATATATATATATATATATATATATATATATATATATATATATATATAGTGAGATAGACATAGAGAGACTCTACCTTTAATGTATTTTGTGGATTTCTACAAAATTTCTTTTTTTAAAGGTGTTGAACTATTCCGTTTCTGCGCGTTTTCTTCTAGCTTCTAGCCTAGTAGTTTGCATGGATTGTAAATTGGTGAATATTTGTATGCATTCTCCCGTATGTGCTAAGAGAATTAAGTAACATATCCCTTTTCACCCGTTAGACATTACTGGGTTAACGATGCCATCCGCATAAGTTAGACTAATTAACAACACAAAAATGATGTGGTCAAAACTGCATCGGTAGCCTTAACTTCATGGACAATGTTCTGTAACCAACCTCAGCCTACATCAGCACGAGAGCCTACAAGAAGGTTTGAATCATTCTCCTTCTACAAGCATGACGGCAATTTATTGCCAGCTAATTTTATGGCTGTTACTGCATTCAGTATAAACATGTGGAGACGTATTGCTATAGATGAACAGATACACACTTATCAGTAAAAACACATCATCTATATCAGCTCTGCAAAATTGTTAATAATTAAGTATATTGTGGCATTTTTCATCTGATCTAGCCCTTTTAGTACACCTTAAAAGAGATTTGTGTCATCTGTTATATATAGAGGTCTAGAAAAGTGTTATCACAAGAAATTGTTAATAATTAGGTATATTGTGGTATTTTTCATCTGATCTAGCCCTTTAAGTACACCTTAAAAGAAATTTGTGTCATCTGTTATATATAGAGGTCTAGAAAAGTGTTATCACAAGAAATAGCTGTACCGCGAGAAATACATTGATTTTAAGCTAATCCACACTAGACGCAGTCAAAAAGGACCATTTAGGATATCGAATGTTGCATATATTCTACACAGTTCTAAGGAGCAGCACATTTTAAAAGTATTTTATTTATTGTATACTTTACCACAACTACAACCAACAAATACGCCTCCTGCTGCTGTAGTTACTACGACTACCAGCCACCGCTATTACTACATATGATACTACTACTACCACCACTAACACCACCACTACTACTACTACAACCACCACCACCACAACCACCACTACTACTAATACCACTACTACTGCTACCACTACCAGAAGTACATTTACTATAACTTTTTTTTTATTATTTAACTTTTTGTTTTTCAAATTCATTGCAGACCTGTGACTGATGGGCTAAGCAATTTTGTCAACGGTAATTTAAACATGAACAAATCCGAAATTTATTTTAATGAATTTATATGTCCTTCTTTGAACCCCACGTGTCATGCTTTACTGCTAAGAAAATGAATTATCCTTACTGTGCTGGTTAATCGTGGTTGACGGTATGGGAAAATTGTTGTCTCGGCCAGTCGCCGTGGTGTACACGTGCAGGATAAACTCGGTGCTAATTGTTAAGTAAAACAGCTGTACCGATGTTACGTTTATTTAGATACTATTGTGAACTATTGTTTGATTAAAAGCTGTGACAATAGTTAATTCATTTCACAATATTAGCAATAATGTGTTCATCAAACTGTTGTGTTAAAAGTGAGTTCAGTTTAAATGTGGTTCTAAACATGTTCATAAAACAAAGATATCAACAATTTACTTTTTTGTCGAGTGTGCCAAAAGTGTGTTCATTAAACAATTATGTCAACAGTTTCTCCTTTAAACTGAAGTGTCAGATTTTTTTTTTTTTTTTTGGTTCATCACACAGATAATTTGTTCAACAGATTCGTCAACATTTTCTTGCATGTAATAATTTTTTTTTCCAGATATTGTATGTTTTCAGTTGTTTATTATGTGGTAATCTCTATAGCTGTTTATTGTTCACTATTAGTTCTTCAAGAAATACTATGCTGCTCCGTTATTATATCTTATTAAATCATTCGGTAATAAATCTAGCTTCCCTCTTTCCTTTAAACTGCTCATGTAATGTGCGTTTTTTTTTTTTTACGTGCCGAACCAGTTCGTCCTGAGTTGGTTTCTTTCAAGAAACTTGATTACACTTAATCTATAGCCTTTAGGCTCTCATCGTTTTCTTTTACAGTCACATTTCAAGAACTTCATAATTACTTCAAAACAAACTGGGAAACTGTTTCTCGTCTGTGTTTCTGCACTTTCATATTAACAGAATTCTCTCTCTCTCTCTCTCTCTCTCTCTCTCTCTCTCCTCTCTCTCTATATATATATATATATATATATATATATATATATATATATATATATATATATATATATATATATATGGTCTAATCATTAGGGAAAACAAAAAGTGTATGATTTTAAATGTGAAATATATTAAACACATTTAACAGTTATTAAAATAAAAACGGATTTTTTATAACGATTACATAATGGAACAATGATGCAAGGAAGGGAATTAAGATACGTGTTTGCAAAGCCCTAAAGAATCTTTGGAATAAGCAGGTCTAGGAAATACAACTTTAAAACGAAACTACAAATCTTCATTTCTAACGTTAATTCACTTCTAACATATGTTAACGGAAATTGGAGAACTACTAAACATATGGAATATAAGTTAAGTAGATTTTAAAATAAATGACTGAGAAAAACCAAGAACAAAGAATTTACAAACAAAAAAGGGAGAAGATCAGAATAATGTTTGTGCCTCTATCACTGCATGCAAAGAGGGCAGAGATATAATGGGCACATACGGAGACTAAATCAGCAATGTACTACAGAACATGCACTCAATTGGGAAACAATGTAAGAAAATCAGGACGTCCATGGGATACATTAAGAAGAACATAATTACACGAAGCTAAAAACGTTGAGTTGGACTACTGTTGGAAATCGAGAGAGTTGCACGTAATAGAGGGGAGCTGAAGAATCACTATGTGACGTCTGACGGAACATTTAGAATGATGATGATGAACAGAGCAATGAGATATTGAGAGAGAAGGAAAGAATGACATCAACCAATTAGTTTATCAATCATCAAAGTCTCACACGCTTGATGATGTTCATCAGTATGACCTAAAGGGCGAACATGTTACACGAATAACATAAGGTTACATAGCAATTTGACACCTGGAATAGACTGGATCCGCGAATGAGAGAAGAGACATCGACGAAGTTAAAATTGAAAATATTTAGAAGTGACAACAACTGCCAGTTACCGCCTTTATTATATCACATTCGCGGTGTAGGCAGGAGGGTCTTTGAGTCTGAGGATTTACGGCCACATGGCTAGTGCTGTTGCCACGACTGTGCTTTACCAAAGATTTGAACCCAGGTCTCCTGCCTCAGAGCTAAGCGTGCTAACCGTTCGGCCAGCCGCTCTTCTTTCGAGCTGCACATCCTGCAATATTCAGAAAACTTTTTCCTCGAATATGCAATCTTGACGGCACAATAAATAATGAAAACAAGAACACAATTCATGAAAAATGTTTGAATGCATACTTTGGAAAAACGGTAAGGAGAGAATGATGGCATCTTGTATATATATTTTTTTTTTCAGTATTCAGTGCCTTTAATGTTCATTGCTGAAGATATCACCCACCTTCACTCTCCATTATAACTGACCTTCTAGTTCCAGTTAGTGGCTCCACATGTCTGTAGGTCTATCAGGAAATAGTCTCTGCGTGTTTTTCTTGGTTTGCTTCGTGTTCTACTGCCAGTCAACACCTTTGTCTTAATGTGTTTACCTCTCTGTCGTCTAGCCTTCTCTTTATAGGGCCTATTGGGTCTATTAGTCCACCTGATGCAAGTGATCTATGGTTATTGAAAAAAAAAAAAAAAAAAAAAAATTAATGTATGCATTTCGTTGTTGCTTCACTCTCCATTCCTCGCTGTTTGCATCACTGAAAATGATGTTTGGAATAATGTACAAAAATAATAAACTATTGCTCGGACCACACACACACACACACACACACACACACACACACACACACAATAAGGAAATACATTACTCTTTTAATATTTTATTTATACCGCTGTGACTAAGAGTAAAGTTAGTTCACCTACACACTGTTCCACACCAACTGCACTTTTCATTCGTCGACCTCCAGCCTATCTCACTTTTTCTTGGTCGACCTTAAGCCACGCACCCTTCACACATTTTACCGGGGTGTTCCGCAATCCCGTTGATATCGCGTATTGTATATTTTAGCACTCTAGAGCTTTCAACACTCTAAAAATATTGACAAACTAGGTCTAACACACAACCCTCCTAGAGGGAGCTGCAACCTGTGTCACGGACATTCTCTTTCTTGGAAGAAAAACGAAAATACAATCAAGCCAGAAAGCAAACAACAGAGCGGCACTCCCGTAACTCCCAGGAAAGTGCACCAGTCCAACAAAGTTGTCAATGAAACGTGACCTACTTTCTTTGGGGAGACTAACGTTTGTTTAAATACATTGTGTATTATTATTATTCAACAGTGCCGTAGAATTACTGGTGTTAAGATATTGTTTCCTCACAAGATGGTGCTGGTAAATCGTGTGGTCAAAGGGAAATAACTAATACATAACTGGAAGATTGCAGTAATGTGGTAGGCTTATCGTCTTGAATGAATTTGCGGTAGTTTTATTTATTGTGGGCCAATGATAAATGCCAGCCCTTAAACGGTTGGTCTGCATTAGAAGTAACGATTCTTCATGTTGTGTGGATGAATAAAATGTTATTTTAGTAACACAGTAGTTAGAATACACGTTAAGAATGGATGTCTTTCTTTCTGTGATTAATTCAGAGATATTCTAATTGCCATT